GTGGAGGAAAAATGTACATAAAAAGTATAATTTCAACTATGTATAGAAAGAACAAAAATCCTCATGTCTGATGGGAAGTGGATGATTTTTTTTTTCTGCTCCTCCATTCTTGCCTACTATTTTCATGACCATGTATTACTCTCCTCTCAGAAAGAAACAAAAGTTAATTTGCCCTTACAATGTTATTCAAATGAAGAATACATTCCTTTAACATCAAGAAACCATTTATAAAATGCCAGGCATGGTGGCACACACTTGTAATCCCAACTGCTTGGGAGGCTGAGTTGGGGCCAACATGAGTAACTTGGCGAGACCCTGCTTCAAAATATGAATGAATGGATGCCTAGGGAGCTTAATACTCCCTGCATTCAATCTCCAGTAACACCAACACACACATATACACACACACACACATACATATACACACACACACACGCACACACACATGAAGGAAAAAAGAAAAACCATTTATAAAATATTTCAAATACTGAAAGGAGCTCATGAAGTGAAGGAAAGCTTATTTCCTTATTCATGACAGAAGTCCTAGGAAGCTCTGCCCCTTTTCCTCTTACATTCTTCCTAATACAGGCATTAATTTGCTGTAAGACCAAGGTGAAGGGTGAGGCCTTCTGTGCAGGCCTTTATAAAGAGTGAGATTTTAAAAAGTGTTATGATGCCCAAACTGCATGGCTAAAAACTGTACCCATAGCTTCTATATTTATAATGTATACATATATATTAGAATGATCCCTATAAGTCAAAGGACAATTCTTTTTAGAAAGGCAACTTATGCACTGGCCAAGAATGGAAATCCAGTTACATTTCTTGGGGAAAAATTTTATGTTTTGTTTTTTTTTTTTTGGTACCGGGGATCGATGTTTTTTTTGTTTTTTTGTTTTTTTTAAAAAGCCTCCCAAATCTGGTGAGGCAGTTATAAAAACCTAACTTGATCTACTCTGCTTTCAGCAGAAGGTTGAATATAATTTGTTCACTTCAATCTAATCATCAAGTCACTAAAAATGCATATGGATATAGTTAAATCACATCCAGACATTTGCTTTTAATTTCAAGGCATTTTAATTTACAGACTATATTGAATCCCTTGTAAAGGGTCAGAAGTTGAGGCAGCTGGAAGCAGCAAGAGCGGCTCTCTTCCTGAAGAAACAGTTCTTGCACAAGACATGATAAAACGCGACAGGGCGAATACAGGAAAGACAAGCAACCCCTGTCCTGAAGATGCTTTCACTCTAAAGTTTCACTCTAAAGTGGCAGATAGCAAAGTCACAGCTCTAAAATAAGAGCAAAAGACAATGCATCACACTGGTTGGCTAGGAGGAGCTGAGCTGTGGCAGGCCTTTCAGGTGAGCTAGTCACACTCTCAAGCCCACTGGTTGTTTCACTGTCAAAGTTACCAAGGGCTGAGGAGGTTCTGAAAGACACAGGGAAGCAAGTTATGGCAGGAGAGGTGAGGTAGGGTATGGCCTAGGGAGGAAGCAGCAAGGCAGGACTTCTGAAGGCCATCTTGGCTCTTTGGCCATGATCACTTTCCAAGGAATTCACTAACTTCCTATGAAATGTGGCATATATTAGAGGGTATCAAGATATACCTTGGTTCATTTCACAATCTATTTTGATATCTTAAAACAAAATGGTGCCAAAAGAAGATTTTTTTAAAAAGTCTACTCTGGGGCCAAGGATTTAGCTCAGTGGTTCTGCCACTTGCTTTACAAGCGCAAGGTCCTGAGTTTGATCCCCAGTACCAAAAAAAAAAAAGTCTACTCTGGAAGTGAGTAGCATTGGAGAAGGCAAGGGTCAAGGAAGCAGCAAGTCTTCAAGTGGGATCCTGAGCAGCTAGAATAGGAGTCAGCATAGCCTCTCCCCAGTGCTGTCTATTGGGAGCAATGTCAGCAACCATGACTGATTCACCAGGGACCCTACCACTAAGGGCTACAAAATACAGGTACAGAAGGTGTGGTCACCATTGGCATACAGCAAAGCGATGGCAGGGGGAAAGCTCAGTGTGAACATCACCTTCACATCTAACCAGACCTGAGCAACAGTGAACCATTTCTTCAAGATCTGGCCTAGTTGAAAAGGTCAAAGGGCTTCTGGGTCTTTCTAGAAACTCATCTTTAAAGGAAAAATCCCTGAAGGTGTAGGATGCCCACTGTCAGGACTTGGAAATGTAGACAGGTTGTTGGGTCATGGTAATTGGAACAAAGACTGGTCAGGGGAAGAGGGTGAGCTTCATTAGCAGTTGAATGATTTAGAGAAGTGTGTGGAGAAGATAGCTGACCAATTAGAGGGGTAAATAAAGAGCTCATGGCATTAAGCAGAATTTTCTGGCCAAGGATTTATCATCTGAAATTCTCTTACAAATCTGATAGGGGAAGAAAGCAATATCTGAACAACTGAAGGGGGATATATTAACCAGTTCTGCCACAAAATTTCAAACACAGAAGACAAGAAAGGGCCTGGGGCCCTGGGGATGAAGCTCAGTGCTAGAGCACTTGCCTAGCATGTATTAGGTCCTGGGTTTGATCCCCAGCACCATAAACAAGCAAACAAAAAGGAAAAACAAGCAAACAAAGGGCCAGGGGAAAAGTTCAACTGTTCCTAGCTGACTATGCTATCACTACAGAGCACAGCAGCTGCCACAAGTTGAAATGGCTCCAGTCCAGGAGTCTGGCACTGGTTGAGTGTGTTAAGTCACAGGGGATATTGCTGCTTTGAAAAACAAAGCATCTCCACCCCTGCCCCTTGAGACAGAAAGTGATGGACAATCAGCCAACTTCCCCTTTGATAGTGCTATACAGTACTTATTTTCTCAAAAAAGCATTGTCTTTGCAAACTAAAGCATAGATCCCATCAGTTTTTGGCATGGAGCAGCAGCCTCAGCTTGTCTAGAAGGGACCTTCCCTGTCCATGTTACTCTAGCACTTTTGACTTATGGGGGCTTCCTTGGAGAGGTAAAAATGCCAGTGTGTCTTTAGAATTTTATAGGTTACTCTGGTCATGAGATATGACAAGGCTATTTGTTCCAAGGTAGTATCCAGCTAAAGGAGGGGATAAATGGCTCAAAACACATTTGGCATGAATGGTACTCAAGCATCCCTGTTTCTTGTTGTGAGCTAGATTACTGGTCCACAGAGCCTATCCCAATGCTCTCCTAGCCCTAGCCAGCAAGAGGCCAGGGGAGCTCAGGTGCTACTCCCAGGCTGGGGCCTGTTCTCAATGCTTAAACCCTCTTGCCCTCAAGCAGATCTCTGAAGGCCTGAGCCCAGTGCTGTCTAAGTCTCTGCCTGAAAGCAGCTCAGAAGCACGGCTTAGGTAGGGTAGAGAGGAGAGCTAGCATGAGAAAATTAGGCAGGTGCTGAAGCCAACCACAAATTTCTTAGAAGAAATACATGCTTTCTTCAGTGGCATTTCTTTTGTTAACTTTTGTTGTTGTTGTTGTTGTTTTTTGAGACAAAGTGTTAATGGTTTGCATCTAGATGTCCCTCCAAAGCCTCAGGCACTCATAGATGGGACTTTTCAGAGCTTGTTGGATCTAGGTGTGTGATACTGGGATTAAGGGTATGTGGTACTAAATTAGTTCCACTGATAGGAATTAGCATAGTTCTGGGTGTGGCTGAATAGATTTACAGAAGCCCAACTGTGGGTGTGGGTGGCACCACCCAAAAGGCTTGTAGCCTAGATGGTATAAAAGGGAAAGGGAGGCTCACTGTGTTGCTTCACTGCCTCCTGCCTGCTCTATCATGGACTGTTTCTCCTCTGTAATGCCCCTCTGCCATGCCACCCTGCCTTGCCTTATAGCCATATAGTCCATATAAGTCCATAGCCAGCCGACTATGGACTGAAACCTCTACAAACTGTGAACTGAAATAAACCTTTCCTCCTTTAACTTGTGGATGTCAGGTATTTTGTCCTAGCAATAAGAAAAGTAACTAAGACACAGGTCTCACTTTGTACCATGACCTACCATGAATTCACTACTGTAGTTCAGGAAGGCCTCAAATTTGTAGCCTCTTGAGTGCTAGGATTATTGTAAGTGCCACTACACCTGGCTATTTTATTTTCGACTTGGATTTTAAGGGCATTTTCATCTATTTTATGACCTGTTTTTTCCTATTAGTAAATAACACTCAATTTTGAACATGAGTTAGAATAGAGAAGAGAATCTATATATTTTCTATTAAGTATGGAAAGAGTGTTTTGTGGTTCTAGTTGTATAAAGTCATAAGTGAGCCCAAGTAAGTTGGCCTTGTGGGCTTGCCTTAAAACCAAACTGTTGCTGCCACTACTCTTCATCCCAGTGCCGTGAGGAACCAGCTTTGAGTCATCTATGCTGAAAAAGGTCTTGTTGGGGGAAGAAGGGATCTGACTAAAATCCTGGGCCCTTAGGATTAGAAGGCTGGGAACTAGAAAGGGAAGTAGAGGTGAGAAGCAAACAAGTGCGTGGGACTTCAGGTCGAACTCCTACCTTTGCTCCCTGCTTCAATCAGAATAGCTAAGGTTTTATGGTTTTATGTATTAGCACTGTGATCTCAGGTATGATTAAAGTGAAGGCAGCATGTACCTCCTATAGTAGATGAAACAAAGTGATTGCAGATAAATACACCTAGCACAGTGTGGGACACACAGTGATGTTCAAAAAATATTAGCTATTATTCTCTTTGGATTCTACATCAGATTTCGTTAGAACAAAAGGTTTAGAAATCACGAATTTGGTTCATTTTCCTCCTTAAAAAAAAAAAATAAAGCCAGGCACAGTGGTATGCACTTGCAGTTCTAGGTATTTGGGAGGCTGAGGCAGGAGAATCACTTGACACCAAAGGCAAAGGATATAATCAGTGAAATAGTAAAATGAACCCTAACTGGCCAGGGATTTAGCCCTCTGCCTCTCAAGCGCAAAATCCTGAGTTCGATCCCCGGTACCAAAAAAAAAAAAAAAAAATGGAGCCTAACTGCCCCAGCCATCGGTTTCTGGAAGGTCTTACCAGAGTTCCATCAGTCAGGGTGCAGCCGGAGAAACGTTTTGCCAGAAATCCTTCAAAGTTAGTTGTTCTCTGAATAGCAAAAAGAAGCAATTTCACCTCAATTTCCTTAGCTCTGGCACGCATGATCTTGGCGAGTTCTGCCCTTCAAAATAGTTAAGAATGGTGTCAAACAAACTGATCATTCACAATGAGAAAAGTAAATGGCTTACATATAGGAAAAAAATGTACATGATCACCTCAGACCAGACCCTGAGGTCTAGTATTACCAATTTAGTTTAATGCCTGAGGGATAGAAATACAATAGAACCCCTTACCCACAGTAGAGGATTTCCAAGATGTTCCCCGGATCCTTGAAATGGCAGATAATACTGAACCCTATATGTACTATGTTTTTTCCCTATACATACATATTAATAGTAAGGTTTAATTTAGAAATCAGACACAGGGCTGAGGATTTAGCTCAGTGGTTCCACTGCCTGCCTCGGAAGCGGAAGGTCCCGAGTTTGATCCCCAGTACGAAAAAAAAAAAAAAAGAGAAATCAGACACAGTAAGAGATTAACAGTAATTCATAATAAAATAAAACAATTATAATGATCTACTGTAATAAAAGTTATTTAAAGTTTATGAATTATTTCTGGAATCTTCCATGGAAAAGAAAACCATAAATAAGGAGAAACTACTGTATACAGTATAAATAAGAATTTTAAGGTGAAACATCCCTCTGTTAAAACAACATCAAGGATTATGGATGGTAATCCAATAACATGGTTACTATTATGTTTCCATATCTTTAAATCTTTCAATAATTTGTAATAATATATATGAAGCACTCAGTGTTTTATTAAAATACATATATCCTAAATAACACAAATCATGAATTACTGAATTACAAAGCTCTTTATCTTCTAGACAGCTCAACAACTATCTCTTCACCTAGAGCAAGGACTTTAGAAATAAATACCCATGAGAGACTGAAAGCCCCATGAGAAAGGTGACATATACATCTTGGGTGGTTCCTACTTATGAAGTTTGGGTGCAACTCACCTAAGTGTTGTTTCAAGATATTGTTTTTTAGGAAACGGTGACATGTGAATTCTTTTTTTTTTTTTTTGAGAGTAGGAAAAATTTATTGAGAGAAAGATAGCTTCTAAGAGAGGCAGAAGGGTGACTGGAAAATGGGTTTCCCCGACATGAATTCTTACTAAGCACTAAGCTGTCATAACCTTCCCACACAAATAAATGTCAAAATCAAACAAAAGGCCTGTGAGTTTACTTTAGAATGATATATCTGTAGGACTTCAGCCAAAATTCTAACAATAAAAGCTTGCCAGTAGCACTGCTATTAGCCAAGACAATAGCAGGTAGTGACTTTCACAGAGACTTGTTAGTGTATTACCAGTCTCTTTTAGGATTCATTGTGTACATAGTTGGTTTGTAAGTCTGCTGAACTTTAGGGAAAAAAAGAATTAGTAAACAGTTTCTCAAGGAATTAATTCTTTCTTTGTTAGTTAGGATTTAGAAACTGATAATCACAACTAACCTTGAATCAACTCAACACTATTTTATTAAATACTATATTTATGATTTAAATCTTTGGTAACAAATGTGTTTCTTAAAACAATATACACATAGAAAGTGTAACACCAAAAGTAAACTGCACGGTAAAGTATGAATTCTGGGTGAAAATGATGTGTCAATGCAGGTTCACCACTATAACAAATGAACCACTCTAGGAGGGGATGTTGATACTAGGGGAGCCTTGTGTGAACAGAGGCAGGGAATATACAGGAAATCTTTGTACTGATTGGCCAATTTTTTTTTTTGGTACTGGGGATCAAACTTGGGTCCTTGTGTTTGCAGGGCAGGCAGCAGAACCACTGAGCTAAATCCCCAGCCCTGCTTGGCCAATTTTGATGTCAATCTAAAACTGCTCTAAAAAATAAAACCTATTTTTTAAAAATAAAGGCACTATCAATTAAAATATTTTTCCCCACAATGTATTTAAATTGTACAATTTGATAGTATTTTCTAGGATTTTTATAAAGACTCAGGCTGGGGATGTAGCTCAGAGGTAGAGCACTTGGCTAACATGTGGGAGGCTCTGTGTTCAATGTGCAGCAAAAAGGAGGCAGGGAAGGAGAGAGGACACCACAAATTATACTAAGGTAATTGAGTTACAGGTAGATAATGGGCCTTGTTTTTCTCTTATTAATCTAGAATCAATGTAATTATAAACCAAGCATGGAGGTATATGCCTATAATCCCAGCACTTGGGAGGCTAAGGTGGAGCACTGTTGAAAGTTCAAGGCCAATGTGGGCTACACAGTGAATTACAAGGCCCACTGAACTACACAGAGAGACTCTGTCTCAAAAAAACAAATGCAATTATGTACAATTAGAAGGGATTATAATTAATAAAAAGCCATGTACCACCACTGTTGTGGTATAGATGCAAAGAATAAAAAAGTTTGGCTTTGGCTTTACCTTTGTTTTTTTGTTTGTTCAGGGTTTGTTTGCTTGCTTTGTTTTGTTTTGTTTTTTGGTTTTTTTGAGTCAGGGTCTCATTATGTAGCTCAGGCTAACTTTAAACTCACCACGTAGCCCAGGCTGACCTCAAACTTGCGGTAATCCTCCTGCCTCAGTCTCCCGAGTGCTGGGATTTCAGACTTGTACCACCACACCTGGCTTTGCTTTTATTTTGGTCATGGATACATGGCTCTAAACTTGCTGGACACAATTCTTCAACAAAAAGGGACTATGTGGCCTGGGCTATCCTCATGGATAAATGAGAAGAGGTCTTTAAAATGATTAGAGTTGGGCATGGTGGTGCACCCTTATAAACCCAGCACTCAGGAGGCTGAGGTATGAAGAATGCCGAGTTCTAGGCCAGCCTGGACTACACAGTGAGTTCAAGTTCAAGGCCAGCCTGAATTACAGAGCAAGACCTTGTTGAAGAAGAAGAAAGAAGGAAGAAGGAAGAAGAAAGAAGAAAAAAGAAAGGAGAAGGAGGAGAAGAAGAAGGAGGAGGAGGAGAAGGAGGAGGAGGAAGGAGGAAGGAGGAGGAAGGAGCAAGGAGGGGGAAGGAGGAAGGAGGGGGAAGGAGGAAGGAGGGGGAAGGAGGAAGGAGGGGGAAGGAGGAAGGAAGGAGGAAGGAGGAGGAAGGGGGAAGGAGGAAGAGGAGGAGGGGGGAGGGGGAGGAGAAGACGACGAGATGATGATGACCACCACCAAGACGAAGAAGAAGAAAGAAGAAAGAAGAAGAAGGAGGAGGAGGAGGAGAAGGAGAAGGAGAAGGAGAAGGAGAAGAAGAAGAAGATGACGACGACAACGACTACAACCAAGACAAAGAAGAAGAGCTAAAATGCTTAGAGCATGACTGAGGATTTAGCTCAGTGGTTCTGGCACCTGTCTTGCAAGTGCAAGGTCCCGAGTTCGATCCCCAGTACCAAAAAAAATGCTTAGAGCACACAGATGCTAATATTATTAACCATACAGAGACTATGAACACTGTATTAAGGCAACTCATTCAACAAATATTCCCTGAGTGTCTGCTACATCCTTAAAGTAGATACTAGCCCTATCTCTATGGAACTATCTAATCTAGCAAGACAGAAAATCAAACTGATAATGGATATGTATATATTGCATGCTGATATATGCAACAGAGATCCAGGGGGAAATGTGGGAGTGATAAGTGACTATAGGTAAATCTAGTTGATGAATCCTAAGTTCATAAAGGAGAGAAGATAGGCTGTTTGAGCCAAGGCAGGGCCATAGGGAGGTCCTAGAGCCAAGAGGGATGGGACTATGTTGGAATGGGGGTGGTCCCGATCATTTGCTGGAGTCTGGAAGTGGTGTCCAATCCACAGGACAACACAGAATCACAGAGATGAGGGGATTAATTTTGAAAATTCAATCAGCATCAGAACCAGTAAAAAGTTGGACTCTACCTTGTCACATGACAGAATTCTACTGCAATCCTCTCAGTCATGTACCACTCACGTGGAAACATTCGGCCATATTTTTCCTCATAGTCCACAAGCTGGCGTTTTACCCAGGCATAGCGTCTGTCAATCTTGTCCAGCCAGGCAACCTCATGAAGGTAAAGAACAAAAAACCACCCCAGTGCTTGCTTAGAAGTAGTATTAACAGTTTAATGAAACAAGCAAAAACATAAAACCAAGAAAACGCCAACCTCTGCTATTTCTCACCATTTCATATGCTATCTTATTTACTTGATCCAAAGATTCTTAACCTAAGGTCTATGATGGGCTTCAGGGGTCTGTAAATCTTCTGAAACTAAATGCAAAGTTTAATGCATAGTTGCATTTTTCTGGGGAGAAGAGCTACAGCTTTCATTAATTTCTCCAAAGGGTGAGTGACCTCAAATGGTTAAGAACTACTGAACTGTAAAGTCAGCCTGTAGGAGTCATGGTTCAATGATCAACAATGTCAGACAGTAGCACTAATAAAGTGTAAGTGAGTAGGCTTGGCAGCATTCATTTTTCAGTAAAATTGAAGTGTTACATCTGACCTCATCTGGTCAATACTTACATCTTGGTTTTCTTGAAAAAGTACTAGATACTCTGACAGATGCTGTTTAATAAACTTTTTGATAATTTCCTGTTTGATTCTGGGGTCCAAAATATTAGCAACCAGACATGCATCTCGCAGGACATTGCTGGGTCCGCCTGGCCTCTAGTAAAACAAACAACAGGCACCAGTTCAAAAGTCAGAAACAATCTTTAAATCTCACACCCTCTGACAGCTGCTACTTTTTGTTTCTCCCTTATTGTTATTACTCCCACTCCTTGGACACTCATTTGCTCTACTGTGGATTGATATTTGTTCCTCGATAAAAGAATCATTATGCTATGTCTTGCAGTGGCCAAAACAAAAACTATCTTGTGAATGAGCAATGATACATTTTGGAAAACAGGGCCAGCAATGATCATAGGACATTTTACTTTCCCAATACCAAAACTGAAAGAGACCTAAAAAGTCAGAATGAGGCCGGTGATTTAGCTCAGTGGCACCGCACCTGCCTCACAAGCACAAGGTCCTGAGTTCGATCTCTGGTACAAAAAAAAAAAAAAAAAAAAGAATGACAGCAGTCTCTGATGTCAGAGATTCTGCAGTGGCCTAAAAGACAAGAATGTCACCAGTGTCACTCCACATTTTCCTTGCTTTCCACCTCTGGAATTCCTGTTCCTAAATGTTATATTTGTGTGATAGCTTTAAAATCTAAAACTAGGTTTCAAGCCACCAGACTTGTTTCACTGATAGTCAATCAACCAGACAGCCAAACGTAAAATACTATGATATTACTCCCTTGACTAGAAAAGAACAATGAAAGGTAGGGGTTGCTGCATCAATGCATCACAATGGAAGGTCTTTGTTATTATCAAAGGCAACTGAATCTAAATGAATTTTCTGTATGGTAACTCACTGAATGAATGTGGCTGACTGTACCACAGCACAAAGAACACTTGGAATCTACCCTTAGCTTGGCTAAAATAGCCACATTGCTTTGGGGAAGTTACTCACCCTCATCAGAAAAATAATGAACTTGAATTAGATGATTAGTAAGATTCTTTCAAATTGTTAATTATTATTTATAATAAATGTCCAATTCTATCCATCTCATCATAAGTTTGAGTATTTCAGAGGTATCACCAAAACTACATGAGACCTAAACTTCTGACTCTTTTCTTTGGTACTGGAAATCAAACTTGGGGCCTCAACCTTGCCAGGCAGGCACTACGCTGCTAAGCTATATCCCCAGCCCAAAACTTAAATTTTAAAACTGTGACTGGCTCCATAGCAAGTGGCTGTTATGTTGCCTATTAAACACACTACTCAATCCTAGCTTCTGTATGAAAGTGCTCAATCTGATAGAAAAGTCACAAAGGCCAAAACCTATGGGTTCAGATTTTTTCATTTATAAAAAATATTTACTAAGTTACTTTGGATAATTTTTTTTCAATCTTAATTGTTAATTGTGAAACAGGAATAACACAAAGCTTTTTAACAAAAGTCAGCAACCTTTAAAAATGAAAAAAGAAAAAAACATTAAAAAGGCCATTAAGCCATTGAGTCAGAGAAAAACGAGGCAAGTTGTTCAAAAAGATCTTTTTTTTTTTTTTTGGTACCGGGGATCGAACTTAGGACCTTGCACTTGTGAGGCAGGCGCTGGAACCACTGAGCTAAATCTCCAGCCCCTAAAAAGATCTTTTTAATTTCATTTGCCCAGCACAATCTAGGAAAAAAGATATAACTAGTAGGGATTGAGTTAGGCATGTAGCTCAGCGGTAGGGCATATGCTTAGTGTGTGCGAGGGCCTGGGTTGAATCCCCAACACCATTAAAAAAATAAAAGATATAAAGTAGGCTATGGTTACATAATAAAGATGGGCTTTACCCATATCTGTCTGAAACTTTGTGAAAATGGAATGGGGCAACAGAGGATAGAAAAGTAGACTAGCCTTGAAGAGTCCAGTGCTTACAATCAGCAAACATCTTTGAAATCTCTAACCTTTGTTTTCCTCATGTGGTCAATAGGAATAATGGCTTTTCAACATCTACTTCCTATCTGAGTTATATCAGTCAGGTGACCAAAGAATCTGAGGTTCTCAAAGTGCTTTACAAATAAATATCTGATTACTTGCAGTCAGCCACAAAATATGAAGACATTAAAAGCAGTAGCAGGTTTCCTACAGAAAGTAATCTAGCAAAGCTAGGGCAGCCACCTCCGCCTACTTCCTAGGTTTCTTCTATAGAGCACAAAGAAGAAAATGGTTAGGATATTTCGTTATTGAATTATGGAGCAGATCCAGGAAACGCTTGTTGGCTTAGTAAGTGAATGTATATTCCCATCTGCATAAGGAATGCTGCTGGCCCATACACTTCAGTTCACTTCTGCTTTAACAAGTCTTTCTCTTGACACACCTCAAATAAGGTGCACCGGGGGTGGGGGGTGGGGGTGGGGGGGGTTACTTCTGAGGGTACTGCCCTCCCCGACACATGCACAATATTAAGATGATATCTGTTGGCCCAAGGATGTAGCTCAGCGGTACAGTGCCTGCCTGGCAAACTTGAGGCCTGAGTTTGATTCCCAGTACAAAAAAAAAAAAGATGACATCTGTAGCAATGTGAAGGAAGGAGCTGACAGTCACACAGCACAGTGATGACCAAGGGAGAGAAAGCTTGTCCTAAGAAGTGTAGCCAATAGCTCACAAATGAAATCCTATAGATTTGCGAACATAAACAGCTACACTACCAGTAAGAGCTAATGGGCTTTAATTCTAAAGAACAGAGTAAGTCTTTAGTGTTGCTCTGAGAGTTACAGAAGCCCCTGGACACTCCTTCTAGTTGCCTTTTCACCAAACAAAAACTAGTAAGTTATGTAATAATCCTTAAAAAACCACGCAGCTTGAAGATTAATTTTTTAAACATAGACATGAGAAAAAAGGAATTTACAGGGTAAACAAGATACAAGGTTTGACCTACATTCAATTAAACCAAAACAAATTCTCTTTTTTTGATGCTGGGTGGACAGATAAGGATCTGACATTTCTTTGGGATATTTAAAACCAAGGATGAGCCAGGCACAGAGACAAATGCCAGCACTAAAGGAAGCTAAGACAGGCGGAACTTAAGTTTGAGACCCACCTAGGCAACTTAGCAAGACCCTGACTCAAAAAGAAAAAGAAAAAGGGCTGAGGATGTTTTGATCGCTAGTACTATAAAAAAAAAAGTAATAAAATAAGGATGGTCTCATTACCTTAAACATTCAGCAAATAGATATGCTGATACCAGCAAACACTTTTGGAATGATAGTTGAATAGCAGATATAATGAACATGAATTAGGCAAGGATGGTAACAATATCTAAAGACTGGAGGAAAAAAATGCAAAACAATACCTTGGTACCCTGAGAAGGAAATGCTTCTTCAAAATCTGCCAGGATTTGCTGTCCTAACTCAGACTGTGCAGCCTTCACTCTGTGATGAAAAGAGAACATATTATTGCTTGGTATAATCTTCAAATATCTGTAAGTAATTACATATCAAATCCACAAAAAGTCCAAACTATTGACATCTTATATATCAACCAGATAACCCAGAAAGGGAGAAGGTGGTGTAGCTAGATAAGAGAAGTCACACACTAGTTAGTAGTGGATGTATGACCAGGACCCAGGAACCCAATTTATTCTCACAATGGATTTTGTAGCTCCCCAAAGTTCCTCTAGGCCACGCTTACCTGTTGTGAGGTAGTAAATGCTAATCTCTCCAATAGTTCATTAGGGGGCAGCTATGCTGCGGGAAAACATTATATAATAAAACTGAAATCAAACATAAATCCATTCTGTATTAATGACTGCTTTCCCACTCCTTGGGGTACGGAATGGGAAGAAGGTACCAAATGTTCCAGGGTGGTGTTTTTGTTTTAACCCAGAAATCAAACACGAGGTCATAATTTTTTAATCAAATGAACAACAACAAATATTCTCTGAAGTATAAAGAAAAAGAGCAAAATGACTAAATGGAGTGAAGGCCACTGGGCCAGGGATTTAGCTCAGTGGTTCTGCTGCCTGCCTCGCAAGCACAAGGTCCTGAGTTTGATGCCCGGTACCAGAGAGAGAGAGAGAGAGAGAGAGAGAGAGAGAGAGAGTGAGTGAAGGCCACTGAATGAAGATTTAAGTTTAGGAGACTGTCAATGGGAAGACAACCAGTTAGAAAGAGGAGGCCAAAAGGAGTACTTAACACTGGTATGCATGTAAATCAGAGCTCAAGAAATACGTCAGTTTGAATGGAAGAGAAGAAAGGAGAGCAGCAAGGATGAGACAGGAACTATGCCTCAACAACCCCTGCAATCAATCACATTCTCCACATTGTCCTCCAGCTGCCTGATGTTGGTGATGCCTGGATCACCTGAGCCAACTTCACAACTAGTGTGGAGCTAGCTTTAAGGCAGCTGTCTGGCTGCCTTGAGCCTGAGACAAATACTTTACCTTTACTAAAAGCACCATAAAGTAGCCTGCTTTCTTTCTTGGTCTCCACCCTGTTACTTCTGGATTAACTTTATGAAGTTTCTAGAAATAGTGAGGAACTCAAAAACCACAATTTCTTTGGTCACTAAGGAGTATCTAGCAATGTGCTGAGATTTTTTTTTTTTTTAATGAAGGGATAGGCATGACCCAAAACAGCCTGTTTTTTTCTGTAGCATATTATAATTATTCTTCCTCCAAATACTTTCTAGGGTTTCTTCAAAACCTTTCTAAAACTTTTCAAAACTTATCTTCAAAACTTTTCTAATTACTTGGATAGGTGGGTTCCAGTGTTTTAAACTAGTTTTTAAGGGGGCCAGAAATGATGCAGGTGAAGCTGTGCAGGAATAGCCACCCAAAAGGGTCAGGGCTGCCCACAGGCAGTCAACCAATAGACAAAGGGAAGTGTCTCTTCAGTGTGAACTCTGACACAAGAGGAAAGAACAGCTTCATAAAACTATCTCTAGAGCATCTTGTGACTCTCACAAGATGAGGCAGCAGACAGCCTCCTGCAGTGCCAGGTCACAAGAGCTTCCAGAGGCTCAGGCCTGTCCGTTCCTATCCTTGTCTTGCAAGCACACAGACCACCAGTTCCTTCATAAACCACGGGGACAGTTCCTGCAGGGGAAGTCCCACCCTTGGCCAGCCGCACTCCTGAATGAATTTTCAGGGATACTGATCACCTCAGTGACACCAATGGACTCGGCTCTACCTCTGTCACCCTCACCCCATTTTCACTATTCCCAACCACCATGTTTTTACTGTGACACTGAGATGGCTAAAAAGACAAGCAGAGCCTATGTCAGGGGTTGGCATTGCTAGAGTAGAAAAGAGAGGGAATTACCAGACTCTGGTTTATAATGATCTTTAATCTGTGTTCAAAATTACCTCTTGAGAAAGGTAAGACTTAGCTGTGCCACTAGGAAGCCATGTGTAATCCCAAGTCACTTTCTCTACATGGGCCAAAACTAAGAACAGTTATAAAATAAGAGGGTGAGGATACAGGCCTGTACTAGATGACTTTTGTTATCTACTCCAGTACTGATTATTCCACAGTAGCTACCTTATAGCACTAGCTGGCAATAGCATACATCCTCACAGGAGGCTGTAGTAGGATATACAATTAATGTTGAGGTAGATGAATAAGCTTCTGCCTAGAAATATTTCCAGCAGTAGTTTTAGAAGTATCTATCAGTAATTCTGATTGAAAAGCAATCATTCTCTTATAAACATTATTGATGGTATCTATAAACCCAAACCACAACCTCATGGATTTTCAGGCTGAAGTGTAAATTGTCTCTACAATCAATTGCCTAAACAGGATCCTAGAAATAAGTCAAAAGACTTAAAAGAATATATATCTAGCCTCACTCCTTTAACTTACTTCTGCTTGTAACAATGAGAAGGAAGTTCCTACTATAAAGAGAAGGATCAATTGAGAGTCTTCAGCAGAGCAAATTTGTGAATTGAACTACTAGTATTTCCTAGTCATTCTTAGGAAAGTCAGCCTACAACTAATAGAGAATGAGATAAACAAAAGCTTCTCCTGGCATCCAAATAAGCTCAACCTGCTAGGTGGTGACAACTCAAAGTTGGCTACTCTTAGGAAATGAAACTCATTGTGCTGCCCAGAAAAGAAAATCAACCAGTGACTTCTGGCATCCAATATGCTATGTGACATCAATGTTGTTCAAAGGTGCCCTAAATATGTTACCACTTTTTTCAGAGTGGTGGCAGAGGGGCAGTAAACTATGAAAATAATCTAGACATTCATAGATAAAGTAACCCTGACACTTTTTAAATTTTATTTTATTGGTACATTCATCATTGGAAATTTGCACCTTTACATAATCTCTCTTGGTTCTTATTTTTCCCCTTTCCGCTGCCCTCCCTTCAACCCCTCCCATCCTCCTTATTTTCAAAGATTTTGTTCCTATTTTTGCATTTTCTCATATTAATCCCATTCCTTTCTATCCTTTACCCTAGCCCTCTTACTTCCTTCCCCTTTGCCCCTTTTCTTCCTATTTCACATTATCTATTATACCTTTTAGTCCTTATTTATGCTTTGAGTTTCTCACACCACAGAAACTATTCGGTATTTACACATGTGTCCTATTTATTTCACTTAAGGGTATTGCCTCAATGTGCATTCATTTAGCTATAAATGTCTCTAATTTCTCATTTTTTATGGCTGAGTAGTACTCCATTTTATTTAAAAATCACATTTTCTTTATCCAGTCTCCAGTTGATGGGCAATTGGGCTGCTTCCAAGCTTTAGCTATTACAAACTGCGCTGCTATGAACATGGGTGCACATATATCACTGTGGTATGATTCTTTTAATTCTTTTGGGAAGATACCCAGCAGGGGAATAGCTGGGTCAAATGGGACCTCTAGTCCTAGTTCTTTGAGATATCTCCATACTGATTTCCACAGTGGTTGCACCAGTCTGCACTCCCACCAGCAGTGGAGCAGTGTTCCTCTTTCCCCACAGCCCCGCCAGCATTTGTTATTGGTTGGTTTCATGATAGCAGCTATTCTTGCTGGGGTGAGGTAGAATCTCAGCATTGTTTTCATTTGCATCTCTCAAAGGACCAGTGATGTTGAACATTTTTTCATATGTTTATTTGGTATATCTACTTCTTTGTCTGAGAAATGTCTGTTCATTTCAGATGCCCATTTTTGGATTGGGTCTTTAAATTTGGGAGATCTGATTTTTTAAAGTTCTTTATAGATTCGAGATAGTAGACTTTTGTCTGAGGAACAGCAGGTGAAGATTTTTTCCCACATTGTGGGTTGTCTCTTCACACTGCTGGTGGTTTCTCTTCCTGTGCAGAAGCTGTTTAATAAGAAGACATCTCACTTGTTGATTGTGCTAGTTCACGGGCAACTGAGGTTTTGTTCGTAAAATCTTTTCCTAGACCAATCTCTTCTGGAGTTCTACCTAACCTCTGTTCCAGCCGATTCAGTGTTTCTATTTTAATATTTAGATCTTTAATCCATTTTGATTTTAGTTTAGTGCATGGTGAGAGACATAGGTCTAGTTTCAATTTTGATAAATTGAAACCCAATTTTTCCAGCACCATTTATTAAAGAGGCTGTCTTTCCTTCAGTGAGGGTGTTTGGCTCCTTTATTTAAGATGAGATGACTGAGTGTGTCTGGAGTTGTTTCTGCATCTTCTAATCTGTTCCACTGGTTCTCAGGAACCCTGACACTTTCATTACCTTTCGGCAGTCTCAAAAAAAAAATTTTTTTTTTTTCAACAGTTCCCAAATAAATATACTGACCTCCCAAGTGCAATCTGAACTGAACAAAATGGCTAGACACAACAGTTTAGTGGGAACTATAAAGAATCTCAACCTAGAATCTTTGACTTATTGGTTCATCAAGGACAACCCTCACAGTATTAAACTGAGGAAGAGACCCAGAAAAAATTTATCAAACAGCTATTCAGTCCTGTCCATTCTGTAGCTTTGTTCTTTTTTCACTCTACCATGTTACCTCTAAGCTGCCAAGCTTCTCTCACATATAGGAGGTTAGAAAGAGCTCTGATAAATATATTTTAGTTCAAGGGCTTCAAGGTTTTCAAGAGAATGCAAGAATCTTCCATCCTTTCTCAGAAAATATCAACTGACTAGAAAAATTTGCTTGCTTAAACCAGGAGGATTTGAAATGTAAAGATATTAAAGAAAAAAATCTCTCCTTCAACGCTACATTAAACATTTAAGCATTTGCCAGAAGGGTAGTTGGAAGAAATAGCAAATCAAGACCCATGAACTTCGTATTTCAAATGTACAGGCAAATATTTCATATGACTTCCACAATTTATAGTCAGCGTGATATTATATTATAAAGAAGCTGAAGCAATGCATAGGGTGTAACTCTCCTGCCTTCTCCCTTCCCCCCTAAAAAACAGCTATTTCTATCATTTCCAGATGGTTCTGCCATCACTAT